TTTGTGGTCTTCCTTATCATTTGATTCTCTGAAGTTTCTCTCTCTCAACAGTCCTTATTCTATAATATAGCATGGCATAATTTCATTTCTGACTTTTAGAGTCAGAAATTTTTAAAGTATTTATTCTCAAGTTTCTTTTCCCCTTCAAAACTAAAGCATTGCTTTTGCCTTACAATTAACTCATTAAATAAGAAACTACAAACAGGGTAGAATTAAGCAATTAAATTCCACATAACTTTCTCAACCTGATGCCCTAGAGAGGTACATTGGAATACTATTCCCATTATCCATTGCCAGCTGGGAATAATGAAACTTATGATCTAATTTATCTGGAAGGCATTCTAATGATGAAGTACTATGATATATTCTACCAAAGGCCGGAGATGATAGGACAGGCTTAATCAAGTAAATACTTGAGAAATATTCTTGGTAGCATTATAAAATCCTGATAGAAAACAGTCAGCTATTGGAATATGTTAAACATGTGTACCTATGTAACCAGATATGTATATTAGATATGTTTATTCCCATACAGGATGGCTTTTAGAATAATAGATGGTTTCCACGTGAACTAATAAGCCAATGGCATTTTGGTGAAAAAGTTCTAGGAGGTATGAGAAAAGACCTAAAGTAGGACTGGCCAAGCCTTGTCGAAAGTTATAACAATATATGGGAACTGTAATCATTGGTAGCCATTACATAGAATGAGGTATTATGAATGATAGATATTCTGGCTCAGTTCTTCTGGACTGCAAACCTGGCCTGGCCAGCTAGACTGAGTTGTAAAAGTATGAATGGATGGGTGAATGCAAGAGTGAATGGATTTTTAGTTCAAAAAGTCAACTATAATAAAAGAAACATACTTTTTTTCCTACGTGTGTAAGATAAAGAACGAGAGACACTGAAGGTGCCTTATGGCCCACAGTCTTTAACTGGTGCAGCTGGCAGAAGACAAGTCTAGGGTTTGTTAAATTAAGAAGCGAGAATGGCAATATCTGCTGAAAGCCCCCAGAAATTATATAATGTTCCTTTCAGATCTGGCGCTGAGTAAAACAGCACCAAGTTTATCATTTATCCGTTTCTAGTAAGGTAACGTTATCTGTTTCTAAACTAGAACTTGACCAGATGAATCCCTGTCCAAACAAGAAACACCAATGCACGGGAAACACAAATTGATTGAGAGAGTCTATTTAGTAACCAAATGACAGATACCACACAAAGTTGGATTTATATTTTGATAACGCTATTGTGTAAATTGGGTGTAAATATTCTAAAGTGATGGCCTCCTGCCCCAGTGAGTCTTTTAGAAACGTAAGTACAGAAAATGTTTTTCTACATGGTCATAAAACTCAGTATATAGGATACCTTGAATGGTGAAATGGAACATAGCAGTCTGTGTTTATTTCCAGAGTCTGTTAACTATTGGAATTTGCGTATGTGAATTCAACCACTAATTGCAGGAAAAGCATCCCAAAAGAGTTAACTTGTTAAGTGAAAAAGAAGTTCATATTTTAGAAGTGCAGGCTACCATGAAATTCTTTGCTGTCATAAGTGAATTAAAGTTTTGTCATTATTTTGTGTCTTTTTGTATGCTAAATGTAATTATAATATATTGAATGATTTTAGTGTATTCAGTGTATTCCATATTAGTTAATGATTACTTATTGGTAGACTGCTATTTTTATGGATCATCATTAAGGACCATATCCCAAGGAGGTGGAGATAAGGGTTAATTTCTCCCCAAGGTATTTGTGTGCCCTATCTGAATTAAAAGAACAGGTCAAAAGAGAATGTTTATCCTTTGCTCCATTTACTGTGTTTCACTGAAATTGGACATATCACTGATACCGGTATATTGGTATGAAGAGCCATGTTGGTGCAATGGTTAGAATGCAGTACTGCAGACTAATTCTGCTGACTGCTGACTACCAGCATTTTGGCAATCCAAGTCTCACCAGTTCAAGGTTGACTCAGCCTTCCATCCTTCTAAGGTTGGTAAAATGAGGACCCTGATTGCTAGGGGCAATATGCTGACTCTGTAAACTGCTTAGAGAGGGCTGTAAAGCACTATGAAATGGTATATAAGTCTAAGTGCTATTGCTATTGCTCTTGAATGCATTGCTACCTATCCACACTAAAGAAACATATCCCTACACTCATAAAAATGCTAGATTAGCTTTAAGTTTAACTGTAATATATGTTCAGTACATTATAATATGGGGTATAATTGGACTTTATTATTTTGTACAAGTTGCCTTGTACTCAGCCAGATAGCTAATCCATTTATGAAGGCAAGCAGCAGCCCCCAACCCTGCAGGTAAGATACTTGGGGTTGAATCAGGAACTTTACAATTTCCATGAAAAATGCACTCTTTTCCTGCTGTTATGCCTATAAAGAAGAACTCTTGCTTCTAGTGACACAGATCTCCATACAAAAGGATGGTGAACTGGTGTATACATCAAGTGAGTTGAGAAACCATCTATGTAGCACCTACCACATGTAGGCATCACTGTCACAATAGGTTTTGTTTGATTTCCAAATAACAGGTGTGTGTGTGGCGGGGGGGGGGGGGGAGCTGCATGGTAAAGTGCCAATAATTAAGTCAGGCTATTTTGAAACACCGGTTTGACATAATGCTTTTCGAACAACATTTAACATGGCTCCCCTTTTAAAAGGGTTACACAATGCAGGAGAGCGCTTTCCATTTCTCTTTCTCATCTCTCATAGTACCTGTCAGCTGGCAGGCAGCTTAGTTTTAAATACTGGTGTAGCATTCTTTCCAGCAGAACTAAATCTCTGTTTAAGAATTGCCCAAATAGTAATGGATAAGTGCTATGAGGATGGACATTGTGCATGATGTGAGAGAGGGAGCCAGTTTATATGCCTCCTCTGCACTTGTGAGCTATTAAAAACTAGTGTTCAAAAGTTCAGTACATAAAATTCCTGGGCAGGGGAGTTTGCACCATGAAAATCAGTTCTCTCCCTCTCCTGTTTCATGGTACAGCCCTATCATCCTCTCCTTTGATCTGCTGCTATTCAGGTGGATTCGGGTCTCTGGGATTAAACTGGTCTGGAAACCTGATGGGAAAAGAACCAGACTCTTTTGTGGTCCAAATCAACATGGTTTTGAAAGACAATGTTCATATTTCTAGGAATTGTGCTGATCACCATCTTGAAGACTGGGGTTTCTTAACACACACGCACCCATTCATACTGCTTAACAAACCCTGAGTTTTGTTGCTATCTTGTTCTATGATTTCTCACATTCTTTGGTTCAGGAAGGAAGAGTGGCCTTATTTCTCAGAGCAATCCATTGCAGGCTGCTGCTTCGCCCCTGCTAAGGAGAGTGGAAGAGATTTCCTATGACTTCCAGGTCGAGCCATCACCTGCAGGCTGAAGATTGTTGCATTAACTTCCTGCAGCTTTAAATATCAAGCTTCTTTTGTTCGCTATATTTCTGTTTATATTTTTTTTTGCAGTGTTTGGTCTAGCTTATCATACCCATGGAAGCTTTTGGCTGAACAGGCAACTTTACAAATATAACTTTAACGAACATAACTGGAATGCTTGACATTTCATGGAACCGTTAGAAGGAGGCTTGTGCCTGGTCAGTTAGCTCAGTTAGCGAATCAACTTTTAGTGTTCTTTAGATGCCAGGTTTGAACTCCTATCCCTGCCTGTTAGCATGAAAATTGTGAAAACTAAGGTCCGATATATTTGAAGAATACCAGTTAAAGAAGGCTGTTCTCTACTGACCAGCAATTCTTTTCCAGGTCCTTGAGATAGGAAGTAACATATGCCTCTTTCCCTGCTTTCTGTACCGGTAGTCCTCGACTTACGACCACAATTCAGCCCAAAATTTCTGTTGCTAAGTGAGATAGCTGTTAAGTGAATTCTGCCCATTTTATGACCTTTCTTGCTACAGTTGTTATGTGAATCACTGCAGTTGTTAAATTAGTAATGCAGATATTCAATGAATCTGACTTCCCCATTGAGTTTGCTTGTCAGGAAGGCCCTGGAACACTGCAACTGTCATAAATACATGCCAGTTGCCAAGCATTTGAATTTTGATCATGTGACCATGAGGGTGCTGCAACGGCCGTAAGTATGAAAAATGGTCATAAATCACTTTTTTCAGTGCTGTTATAACTTCAAATATCACTAGATAAACTGTTGTAAATTGAGGACTATCAGTATAAAGAACCCAGTAGGCAAATTCTGAATCTTGCAAAGCCTGCCAGCACTTTTTAATTTTCTTTTCCCATTCAAATAAATATATAAAAGTGAAAGAGAAAAAAAAAAAAAACAAAATTCCAAAACTTTTTACAGGATCAAGCATACACTGCTCCAGATAATCTGTGGAATTGTTCCCACAACCACATGAGCCTGTAGCAACATGAATCTTTCATCAACTGAATGGCAACCACTGCAATTTGTGCCACTCACAGCTGCTTGCCTTGCTGTGAACTAAGTTGGCTTGGCTTCTGGCATTCGCAGGAATGTCTGGTTATTCCTGTGGCTGCTTCCCTTTTCCAGAATACACAGGTGCAGAGAAAAAAACCCAAGTAACCCACTTCTAAACAAGTGGTCTCAATCTTAACCTGCACATGCAGACTGTACTGAATGTATGCACTGAATGTACAAACAGCCTCCTCTATGCAAGGTTGGAAGGATGACATCCAATACGAAACAAGAAAGGCTACCTCTTCCCATTGAAGTGACATCCAATACGAAACAAGAAAGGCTACCTCTTCCCATTGAAGTGCCACAGCTTTGTTAGAAGAAGTGGCGCTCTGAATGAGTTAACTGTAAGTTAATTTCACATGTAAACATCCCTTCTTCTTTGCCTGCCAACAATCACGATATTTATCCTTAAATGTTCTCCCTTTTTCAGGACACTCGTTCACGTCTAACTTAGAAACTCAGTCAAACTGATTAAACCAGGAGTGGACAGGGAGAGGCACCAAGATGTAGAATGTAATCCAAATCCCACCCTTACCTGATGCCGGGATCTGCTTGTCAGTGAGGGCAAAGTGCTCACTGATGCCGCTTCTGGAGGGTGAGACCAAGTCCAGAACTTCTCTCGGAGTGGAGCTCCGTCAGTGGCTCTGACACTCTGTCTTGCCTTCAGCTTCTGTTTGATTACTAATTCTTTACAGCACAGGAAAAGGAGAGTTGGATTTCATTTAACCCTTTCTGCTGCAATGGTTATCCTGCGTTTAAAAGCTGGAGTGGCAACTCTAGAGATGTGAGAGAACTCAGTTCGGGATGAGTTGCTTCTCTTTCAGATAAACGTTGTTTTATTCAATAAGCAACTAGAGTGTTGTTACAGAAGTTACTGCCAAGGTGGAGCCCCTCTGAATTAAATTTTATTTTAGCCAGAGGCTAAGAAATGATCAAAAGACAAGGCAGAGGCACGAAAGAATCTCTAACTGGAGCCATGGTTTCTTTATCTATTAAAGCTTCATGTGTAAAAAATGAGAAATTCAAATAGGAAACAGGAATACTCTGGAGTTTATATCTAAAGAATTCCAACTGTTGTCCAGGACTGTCTCCATCTATGCAATATGTTAAGTTACTTCTTGGGACAGACGTCTGGAGAATACAAAGAGACAAATGTGAATTATAAGATATCAAAGTACTTGATCCCACCTTTCACACTAAGATCTCTGTAAAAATCACAAGAAATATAAGGGAAGGGATCTGGTTTGTAGACATCCAAAACAGCATTTGCTTAAGCTTGTACCACACAGTCTGTTTTTGTCCAATAGAATTAACCATACAATTAACTCCAGGATTTGTATTCACATAACATACTAAATTATAAATTAAGTGGATAGGGATGATACAACATACAGGTAGTCCTTGACTTACAACAGTTTGTTTAATGACAGTTCGAAGTTACAATGGCACTAAAAATTGACTTATGACCATTTTTCACATTTATGACCATTACAGCATCCTCATGATCACATGATTTACATTCAGATGCTTGACAACTGGTTCGTATTTATGACGGTTGCAGTGTCCTGGGGTCATGTGGTCACCTTTTGTGACTTTCTGACAAGCAAAGTCAATGGGGAAGCCAGATTCACTTAACAACCATGTTACTAAATTAACAACTGCAGTGATTCACTTAACAATTGTGGCAAGAAAGGACATAAAATAGGGCAAAATTCACTTAAATGTCTCACTTAGTGACATACATTTTGGGCTTAACTGTGGTCATAGGTTGAAGACTACCTGTATTTACTTTTCTTCCTAAGCACCACCATGTCTCACGTCTCATGAATGAAGGCAAATATATATGTCCCAGGATAATGTTGTAGGATCTGATCGTAAAGTTGTAAAATGGGGCATAACTCACTTAACAAATTTTTCACTTAGCAACATAAATTCTGGGCTCTGTTATGGTTATAAGTTGAGGATTACCTGTACTAGATTACAATGTGGATGGCTAATTTGTGAATGAATATGTTACATAAGCCTTGAGTCTGTGGCCATTCAGAAAACATAGGGCATGTGAAGTCAAACACTGTGCTACTTATTTCCTTGTTATCCAAGTTTCTCAGTGTCTGGGTTTAACAACCAAATAATAAACAAGCCAGCCAAATTATAGTATAGTTTGCTATAGTAACTCATCCTACAGAAGATTTAAACCTTACTTGCTATGTGGTCCAGATCCAAATTAGGAGTCTGCATGCTATTTATAATTTATAAAAGTGATATCTGTTACATACTTTTCTAGTATGTCTAGTATGTCTAATGACATTGCACTAGCTATGGTTGTTGCTGTTAGTTGCGAAGTCATGTCCGACTCATCGTGACCCCATGGACAACATTCCTCCAGTATCTTAGTTTAATCTACCTTCTAAATGTTTGTGAGGATCATATAAGGCAGTGATTCTCAACCTTTTTAATACCGCGACCCCCCCAACCAGTCGTAAGTCGAGGACTACTCAACCGGTCATAAGTCGAGGACTACTCAACTGGTGCAGCACCGTTTGCAGAATGGGACTTTAGGCGGGCTCAGCAGGGCAGAGACAGCCTGGACAATTCCTATTGGCTTTTGAAAGCCAATAGAATTAGACTCTATTCAAGAGTTGAGAAGCACTGATATAAGGGAAGTTGAATTAGGACAATATACTAGGATATCTGCAGGATATCCTTATCTATTATTACTTTATTACTCAATTAATTTTGGTTTGCAGAACACACTAAATAAAGAAGACTATTTCTAGCTAAGGGTTGAAATGAGGGGTCCTCATGAGGGTGCACTGATGATGTTACCTAGTTTGGGTAACGAAACATCTGCAAGAAAACAACCAAGCTCAGAGAGCACCAAGGACCCCTCACACTAAATAAACTAATTAGTTTGGCCAGATTGCACAATATTCTGGGTGACAAAATGGCTGGCTAAGCTTATGGTTCAATGTGTTGTAGAAACCCTGCCCTCAATTTATTAATATAATTGAGTATTGTCTCGGGGAATTAAAAGCTCTATCTGAACTTATAGAAATGTCTCTGTCTAGTTGATGTCACTTGAAAAATATTCCTGAAGAGCATGGGTTGGGAGAAGAGAAAGTCCCAGAACTAAAGAAAAGAATGTGGATGTCTTGAATCTTTTTATATATTTCTCATTCTCCAGCTAATTTTAAGGAATCAGGGACAGCTATCTGATGTGTGCTAAGTACTTTATAAAGATCTGTGAATTATGCTTTCATATCCAAGTAATAACAACACACAAAGAATTCTTAAAGAAAGTATTTAATATGCCTGCAATTAGTGATTAACTATTCACATTTTAATGACTAATTTAGGAATATTGCAGAAGAATGATAGCAGAGACCATCTCTAGTCATGGGGAGTTGTAATTCCTTAACATATATATTTTTACATTTTATATTAATTGCGTACTGCTTTGCAGAATCCATAACTTCATTTTGGTTCACTTAGTTGTAAAAGTGTGAATTAAGTTCATGTTTAAATCCACATCAAGCCTATTTCTCCATCATCCCTAATCTTTGGTTTATACCTATTCAGGAACACTGTATTCTTCCCTGCATTTTGTTTTGATGGTGGTCTCTTTAGCAATACTAGGTGATTAAGCTACTCAGGAAGTTGGAAGAATATAAACATCAAGGCTGAAATCTAGCTAGTACATAATCAAATAATATTTGTGCTTCTTCCATATTACATAATATTGAAAGCCATCGGCTGAGGAGGGGCACATTCAGTTGAAAAGTACTAATAAGAAATGATTAAAAAAAAAAATAGGCCAGAGCTGAAGCTTTGAACTATATTATTTTATTAAAGGTTTTGTAATTATGTTTCCAGATGGTATGCCCTGATAGGAAAACTGATTTCTTCTGGGACTTTGGTCTAGTTTGGCTCAGTGTCAGGAACAAGTTAAGTAGGATTCTAAAAGATAATCAACTGCAAGCTTACAAAGAGATCAAATAAGCAAACAAATAATATTGAGTTCTCTTTCAAAATATAATCAAAAGATTTAAAAATATATATTTTAAAAAGTCAATTTCTTAGATTTTAAAATACTTCTGGGTTCTTTTGTCCCGAAGCCAAAATGCTAGAATTGTACTAATTGTACTAAATTCTACTAAATGAACACTATTTATTTACAAATTCCCTGGTTTTAATTAAGTTATAAATATGGTGCCCATTAATACTACAGAATATTTTTTAATATCTTCCAGAAGGCTTTGAATTAATACACAGCACTGAAAGGTTGACAATTAACTTGGGGGTTGTGGGTGAGGGTGAAGGAGAAGGAGAAGCTGAGACAGTGGAGACATTCTTAGTTCAACAAGCTTAAGGCAGAAGGGAAATTTTAAAAATTCAAATCAAAGACTTCCTTGGTTTTAAAACAGATTTTCACGTAATATTCTACAGCTGGCAGTGTTGAGAGAAGAAACTATGGCATATTATAAAGAGTGATAGTATACTGCGTATTTCACGACAGTCAACTTGGATTTGCCATTGATGTACACTTAAGACATCATAAACTGGCAGAGAGGGTAGCTGCTTGAATCCACTTCTGATTACAGCTTTCCAAAGTCCCATCTTATTTCATGAGAAATATTGGTTGAAATTTTGGAGATTATGGATAAGGAAACCAGGGGAAATTTGCAACACAGATTTTGCCTTCACTAGGATGAGATAGGCAACTTTTTTTGAAAGTGGCCCTTCAACTTAGGTGTCAGGCTGAATGTCGTACTCAAGAACTGGTGGGTCCAAATGGATGTAGGTGTGGTTAATGCAGAAATAATTGACAGGCAGAAGCAGAAAACAGTGTAAGATATAAATACCAATTCCCAGAGACTTGCTTATCTGTTATGAAAGAGACAGCTTTCCCAGACTGTGAAATGTGCTCCCTCTGGAGTTGTCTTTGGCTTCTACTCTCTCTTGTTAGAAGTAGTATAAAATTTCTCCAGTCTTTGAATTGTTCTTTCATTTTAGTATTTGATTTAATGTGTAGTTTACATGTTATAAACCATATTGGATTGTATAATTTATTATTATCAATAGTTCTCTTGTGTTTGCATTTGAATGGAAAGGTGATTATAGGTTGGATAAAATAAAAATGAAATAAATACTGTATTAAGCCCATGAGTTGCAGTGAGTATCCTGCAACAAGATAGGACCTTGTTTAGATTGTCATGCTAAGTTCAAGAACAATAGAGAACAATTCTGCCAGAGTCCAGTTCTTTGTTTGCTTATACACAATAGACAGAATCTTGTCAGATTAAACCCTAACTATTCACACCCTAACTGATATACCCTGTGAGTTCTTAAAGCAGTGGTTCTCAACCTTTTTAATGCCGCAACCCCCAACCGGTCGTAAGTCGAGGACTACTCAACCGGTCGTAAGTCGAGGACTACTCAACTGGTGCAGCACCGTTTGCAGAATGGGACTTTTGGCGGGCTCAGCAGGGCAGAGACAGCCTGGACAATTCCTATTGGCTTTCAAAAGCCAATAGAATAAAAGGGACTAGCATAGCTAAGGACAAGGGGGAAAAAAATGGTGGACTGCGTTGTTTGGCGACCCCTGTGAAATGGTTGTTCGACCCCAAATGGGGTCCCAACCCACAGGTTGAGAACCACTGTCTTAAAGAGTGGCTATCCTCACCCTCTTCTTTTATCTCCTATCAGGTTCCAGGCTGTGATGCCTCTTGT